TGATGTCATCACTGCTCAGTGCAACCTCAAATTCCTGGGGTCCAGGATCCTCCCTCCTCAGCCTCCAGAACACCTGGGACTACAGGTGTGCACCACTATGCCTGGCTTTTTTTTTTTGGTAGCTACAGGGGTTCTGTTATGTTGTCTAGGCTGTCTTCAACACTTGGTCTCAAGTGATCATCCAGCCTCCACCTTCCAAAGTGCTGAACCACATGCTCAGCTACTTATAAACATTTTCTATACTTTTCTCAATCCGTTTTAAAGTCTTAGAAGTCTTGGGCAGCACCTGTGGGTCAAAGGAGTAGGATGCCAGCCCCATATGCCAGAGGTAGTGGGTTCAAACCAAGCCCCGGCCAAAAATTAAAAAAAATAAAAAATAAAGTCTTAGAAGTCTCTAAATCTGACCTTCATAAGCTCTCCGACCTTACCTTGTAACAGAAAACTACTATAGCTTCCCTAAATATGTTTTAAAACCTTGTGAATAATTCCAACAGAAGAGACAGCATATTGGCTTGGGGCCTATCGTTCAATAGTCAAGGCACCAGCCACATACACCAGGGCTGGCAGATTCGATCCCTTCCTGGGCCTGCCAAACAACAATGACAACTACTACAACAACAAAAAAAAGCTGGGCATTGTGGCAGGCGCCTACAGTCCCAGCTACTCAGGAGGCTGAAGCAAGAAAATCTCTTGAACCCAAGAGCTTGAAGCTGCTGTGAGCTATAATGTCATGGGACTCTACCTAGGGTGACACAGTGAGACTTTGTCTCAACAACAACAACAACAAAAAGAAATAAACAAATAAAATTTAAAAGAAAAAACATGGTATGATGTGGACCTCGCAGAACACCTTATCTCTCTTATGCACAGTTGTATACAAAGACGCCTGAAAAATATGCACCAAAAGGATGCTGAATTCTTTCCTCATTTTCAACATGTGTGCTATAGTGAGAATTTTTGCAACAAGCAAATATTACCATTAAAATTAAAATAAGAGTGGCTGGGCACCTGTGGCTAAAGAGGCTTAGGCACCAGCCACATACACCTGAGCCGGCGGGTTTGAATCCAGCTGGCAGGTTCAAATCCAACAATGACAGCTGCAACCGAGAAATAGATGGACATTGTGGCAGGTGCCTGTAGTCCCAGCTACTTGGGAGGTGGAGGCAGGAGAAATCACTTGAGCCCAGGAGTTGGAGGTTGCTGTGAGCTGTGATGCCACAGCACTCTACCCAGTGTGACAGCTTGAAGCTCTGTCTCAAAAACAAAAACAAAAAATTAAAATAAGAGGCTCGGCGTCTGTGGCTCAAGCAGCTAAGGCACCAGCCACATACACCTGAGCTGGCGGGTTCGAATCCAGTTGGGGCCGGCCAAACAACAATGATGGCTGCAACAACAACAACAAAAAACAGCTGCCTGTAGTCCCAGCTACTTGGGAGGCGGAGGCAGGAGAATCTCTTGAGCCCAGGAATTGGAGGTTGCCATGAGCTGTGATGCCCCAGCACTCTACCCAGGGCAAAAGCTTGAAGCTCTGTCTCAAAAAAAAAGAGTGGTGCCTAAGGCTCAAAGGAGCCTCATATACAGCACCAGCCCAAAAACAGAAAAAAACCCCAAAAAACCTCAAATTCCCAGGCTTACCCGATCTTGATTCTCTTACCTCAGCCTCCCAAGTAGCTGGGACTACAGGCGCCTTTGGCTCAAAGGAGTAGGGCACCGGCCCCATATGCCAGAGGTGGCAGGTTCAAACCCAGCCCTGGCCAAAAACTGCAAAAAAAAAGAAAAAAAAAAAGGGTCTCTTCTGTACCTCTTCCTTTTCACAGGGCACCAATGCTATGCTAGCTATGACCACTTTTTTTTTTTGAGACAGAGCCTCAAGCTATCCTCCTGGTAGAGTGCCGTGGCATCACAGCTCACAACAACATCCAACTCCTGGGCTCAAGTGAGTCTCCTGCCTCAGCCTCCCAAGTAGCTGGGACCACAGGTGCCTGCCACAACACCCAGCTATTTTTTTGGTTGCAGCTGTCGTTGTTTTGGTGGGCCCGGGTTGGATTCAAACCCACCACCTTAGGTGTATGTGGCTGGCACCTTAGCCACTCGAGCCACAAGCGCCAAGCTGGCCACTTTTAACAAGGATTTGTCATCGTCAGTAATCGTCTCAAGAAAATATCAGATTACCACAACTTTAAAACAGCCCCTAAACCAGATTTCACTACCAAAGTTGCTAAGTAAAATTTCAAAAACATTTGCTTTTGGCTCTGCACCTATAGTTCAAACAGTTAAGGTGCCAGCCATATACACCAGAGCTGGCAGGTTTAATCAGGCCCAGGCCCGACAACTACAACCAAAAAAAAAAAAATAAATAACCAGGCCATTGTGGTGGGCACCTATAGTCCCAGCTACTTGGGAGGCTGAGGCAAGAGAATCAGGATCAGGCAAGCCTAGGAATTTGAGTTTGCTGTGAGCTGTGACCCAGGCAGGGCACTTTACCAGGGTGAGAGCTTGAGACTGTCTCAAAAAAAAAAAAAAAAAACAACAAAAAAAAAACAAAAAAGGGTGGCACCTGTGGCTCAGCGGGTAAGGCTCCAGCCCAATATACAGAGGGTGGCGGGTTCAAACTGGCCCCAGCCAAACTGCAACAACAACAACCCCCACCCCAACCCCCCAAAAAATTAAAGAAACAATCTTTGGGTAATTTCCCAGAGATTTGAACCTTGCATTGTTTTTTTTTGAAGTTTAACAAACTTTTTTTTTTTTTTTTTTTTTGGAGACAGAGCCTCAAGCTGTCCCCCTGGGTAGAGTGCCATGGCATCACGCTCACAGCAACCTCCAACTCCTGGGCTCAAGCGAGTCTCCTGCCTCAGCCTCCCAAGTAGCTGGGACTACAGGCGCTTGCCACAACGCCTGGCCATTTTTTTTTTGGTTGCAGCCATCATTGTTGTTTGGCGGTTCCGGTATGGGGATTCGAACCCACCACCTTAGGTGTATGTGGCTGGCGCCTTAGCCGCTTGAGGCACAGGCGCCGAGCCAAGTTTAACAAACTTTTAATGATACACATAAAAGACAAGTGCAATTTATAAAGAGAGACCCAGTACAAGGTAATTCTAGCACATTTTACTTCTTTTTTTCTTTTATAGACAGTCTTGGCAGGTGCCTCTAGGTCAGTGGTTAGGGCACCAGCCACACACACCGGGGCTGGTGGGTTTGAACCCAGCCCTGGCCTGCTAAAATACACAAAAACACAAACAAAAACACCCAGGCGTTGTGGCAGACACCTGTAGTCCTAGCTACTAGGGAAGCTGAGGTAAGAGAATAGCTTGAGCCCAGGAGTTTGAGGTTGCTGTGAAGTATGACACCACAGCACTCTACCCAGTGGGACAAAGTGAGATTCTGTCTCCATGAAAAATAATAAATAAAAAATTAGACAAAGTCTCACTTGGTCCCCCTGGGTAGAGTGCTGTGGCGTCATACCTCACAGCAGCCTCAAAGTCCTGGGCTCAAGCAATCCCCTTGCCTCCCCTCCCAAGTAGCTGGGACTACAGGAACCTGCCACTACATCCAGCTAGTTTTTCTATTTTTAGGAGAGACAAGTCTCACTCTTGCTGAGGCTGGCTCAAGCAATCCCCCTGCCTCAGTCTCCCAAAGTGTTAGGATTACAGTTATGACCCACCACATCCAACCACGTTATTTCTAGTTTAGAAACGTTCATACTGACTTGACCTTTTAGGTTCAAATGACACCACAATCAAAGAGGAGAGAAGAAAAGAGAAAGAAAAAAGAGAAGAAGGAAAAGAAAAGAAAAGAAAAGAGCAGACACTAGGCAAATACTGCTGACAGTGCAGTAGACCTCAGGAAAATAAAAGGAATTCTGCATTGGCCAGGAGCAATGGAGCATGCCTCTAATCCTAGCACTCTGGGAGGCCAAGGCAAGTGGATTGCTTAAACTCAGGAGTTGAGAGATCAGATTGAACAAGTAAAAGAACCTTGACTATTTAAAAAAGAAAGAAAGAAAGAAACAAAAAAACTAGCCGAGCAAGCGTTGTGGCAGGAGCCTTGTAGTCCCAGCTGTTCCGGAAGCCACTGCAGGAGGATTGGCTGAGCCCAGGAGTTTGAGGTTGCTGTGAGCTATGATGACGCCACAGCACTCTGCCCAGGGCGCCAAGAAGAGTGATTCTCTCGAAGGAAAAAAAAATAAATAAGTAAGTAAGAAACTCAGCATTAGCAGACCACGGACACTTGACACTTCCAGCTTCATTAAAAAATGAGAGGGACTTCTAATTTTCTTAAGTTACTCAAAAGTGTCGAATTGGATGGTGATGGCTACAGAAACAAGGAACTGTTTTCCTTTGCGAATTCAAATACGGTAACTTTGGAAGAAAAAGTTGTTTCAACTTTTTTTTTTTTTTGCTATTAATGCTAACATGGTTCCAAAGTGTAACTCAAATGGTCAGTTTCTCATTTTGCTAAGTGACTTTGAACGAATAAATCGGATCAAACAGAAATACTTTTTTGTTAAACACACAGGAATCATAAAAAGTGAGTTAGTACCTGAATAAAATGAACTAACGGGGCCAAACCAAATCCACCTGCATTTCAGACACTATCGAATGGAGTTCAAAAGGGAAGAGAGAATTTTTTTGATAGAGACTAAAAACAACACAGCAGAAAGCACCAACTCACAGCGTTAATAACACAGACCACGACTGTTATTTCAGGAGTCCTTCCATCTTGGGTTTTTTTTTTTTTAACAAGCACAGGAAATGCAATCCACCGCCCCCGACGCCACAGACCCTCGCCTACTAGTTCGTGGCTCCCGCCACCTCCCACTCGGACCGGCCAGCAAAGGACTCGTCCCACTCACAGAGCACACTCTGATTCAGAAACTGACATCCCCGCAAGGCCATCTGCACCCTGCGGTTCCCGTCTCCAGGCCGTACCGGAGCGCGGCCTGGACCTCGGCATCTCCGGCGGGGCTGTCTGCGCGAGCTGGGCGCAGGTCAACTTACCTAAGGATATTGTGCGCCTCCATGCTCCGGTTCTGGTTGCTCGAGCACACCACCGCCACCCGCAGTGGCGACGACGGCATGGCGACGGCCGCTCCGTAGCGACGCTCTGGTTCTGACTCCCTCCCAGCCGCGGCGCCTCCAGGGAGCAAGATGGCGGCCGGAAGTCAGTGACCCGGAAGTGGCGGCGGAATGAGTGACGTCGCATGGCGGCCTCCAGCGAGGACGCGAACGGACGCCAGGCCCCGCCCCTCGGACGGGAAGGCTTGAGGGGATGATCGCCACAGTTGGAGGGCGGCAGGCCAAACACAGGGCCCAAGCGTACGCAACCGAGGTCCTCCTTCTGTACAAGCGCCGTCGAGCAACCCGAAGCCCGCGCGCCCTATTCAGGTACGTAGCACAGGAAGGATCGTCTGCCATGACGTCATAAGGTCCTGCCGTTGATGACGCGCCAGAGCTAACACCCTGGCGTCACACGTTGCCAGAGCCGAGAGTGGGGCTCAGGAACTGTTTTGAGGTTTCCCGTGGTCGCGATGGAGCCTGGTTCTCACGCCTTTGGTTCTCGAAGATTTCCGGTGCTGCTTCATTCCCCCTGTAGCTCTGGCCTGCGCCGCACCGCTCTAGGCACAGCCGCGGGCTCAGTCCCCTGGCTCGCATAACCAGTAACACGTAGCTCTCCTTTGAAAATCCTTCGGCGTTCAGCACTTCACTAACCTGTAGAAGACCTGCTTGGAACTGGGTCCTTACAGGTTCGCTTAAGTTTGGGGATCAAGGTATTAGGGTGAATCTAGTCAACGCGTTGATTCTTTCCAGCCGCTCCTAGGTGCCTGAAAGCAGGCTCGAGTGGGCAGGTGTTTTGCTACAGGAATGCAACAATGGGGAGGGGGGCAAAGGAATGGTGGCGATTGTCAGTCTAAATAAACAGAAGAGGCTCTCTAACAAAAAGATATTTAGGAGTAGGGCTTGCGATGCGACTACTGTCCCTAATAAACAATGTGCTGTTTTCGCACTTCCTTGTGGAGATCAACCAAGATGCAATCTTGATAATGGTCAAGACAGTATATGCTCCTTTTGTTCTATCACTCAATATGATTATTTTGAGATTTATACCTGATGCTGCCTGTATCAATAGTTGGTTGGGTCGGGCGCAGTGACTCAAGCCTGTAATCCTAGCACTCTGGGAGGCTGAAGCAGGTGTATTGCCTGAGCTCACAGGTTGGAGACCAGTTTAAGCAACAGTGAGACCTTGTCTCCACTAAAATAGAAAAATTGACTCGGCGCCTGTGGCTCAAGCGGCTAAGGCG